CTAGCTGCATAGATCTATTTTTACAGCAAAATATTTAAACTAAAACATGCCCTATTATAGATCTAGTGCATATAGAATTTCACAAGGATTTCAAAAAGTCCTTATTTACTATTTTACGATTTTTCTACAAATTACTACGAATTTTCAAAGTGGAGCATTCAAATCTGCCAAAATCAAAAGAAAAGGAATCTAAATCTTGCACTGGGGTCCCTGCAGAAAACATATATTAAATACGAACAAATGAATCCTTTCTGGCACTATTCACAAGAGTCACTGTCTATTCACTTAACCCCCTGGAGAACATCATATTCATGCGCGTGGTCCTTGGCCTCTCTTCATTCGGCCGGAAGCAGGACACCTCGTCGGAGCTCGTGATTCCGGCGGCTGTGGTCGTCGTCGGCGTCGAATAAGTTGCAGGGGAGCTCCCACGGGCCTGCACACCCACGTGTGGCCACTCAGTTAGGCCGGAGGCAGGCCAGGTTGGCCTGGCCGCACGCACAGGCGGAACGCCGGCGGCTGCTCCGGTGGCGACAGCGATACGACGACCGTGGTGACCGAAAAAGGGGCGCAGGAGGGGCGTCGTGATGCGACGGATGCGTAGCGACACTCGGTGCAGGCGCAGGAGGGCTGTAGGCGAGGGAGCAGCGGTGGCACGGGAGCTCGGCGGCGGCGACCATGGTAGGGCGAGCTCTGGCGCGAGCGCACGGCACCGAGAGCGAGCGAGAGCGCAGAGGAAGGGCCGAGGGAGTGAGGGCGAGTCACCCTGGTGCTCCATTACATCGAGTGAGGCGCGGGGCATGTGGCAGAGAGCAAGGGTGCATGGCGTCCACGTCCACAACACGCGTCGCTCACTGAGACAAAACTCCGAACAGGTGGCGGGCGATGGTGAGGGCGGCGTGGGGAGCTGACTTCGGCCGTCTCGGGTGCGAATTGGACATTGGGCCTAAAACGAAGTTTGAAGCCCACGAACTGCTCTTCATTTTTTATTTAGAGACCAAGGTCATTAGAGCTCTTCAACAGTGGGTAATTAAGCCACAAACTGCTAGTGTCAACACCTTGATAACGGTCACGAAAATTCACTTTCGGAGGTCAAAACTCGGTCAAACTCAGTGCAACTTTTTGCATGCTCTTCTCCATAATATAACCTTCAACTTTTATTTTTGGACCAACTCAAGTTGCTTAACGAATTTCGGAGAACGTGGAATGCCAACGTCGTTGCTTAGCGAAACTCCAGACTTAGAATATTTCTAAGTGCTGAAAACAACAGCAAATTCGATCTTGTGACTTTGATTTGACTTACTTCCAAGATGATCTAGCTCTTAGTCCAAAAACAAAGTTTGTTCTACATGATATGGACTACAACTTTCATTTAAGGTCCAACCTCAAAACTGGTATAGAACCTGCTGTTCTACTTTGACCAAAGTAGGATCGCGATGAAGCTTAAATTATCCTTTTTGATCCATTGGAGCATTTTCTTGGCATTTGCCCAACATGAACCTTTCATGACTTTTGTTGTAGAGTTCATCTAGAGTCATTTGGGCAAGTTTGCAAGGTTTGGTAGACGATCGAGAATTCCATTCACTTTATAAAATAATTCAAGCAAGGACATAACTCGTCATTTTATGTGACTTCTTGATTCCAAACTTCACGAAACTTTTCCATGGATCAATATAGATGGGTATTGATGTGAGACACATGAAGATATTCCAATAACACCAGCCAAGCATATCTCTTGAAAAGGGCCTATATGTAAAGCAAGGGTGCAATATCCAAGTTTAGGTTGGGGGGGCTCATTTCCATAGGTTTGACCTTGACATCTTCATCATCACTTAATATGCCATGTTTAAGCTCAAACCCATTGCTTAACTGGTGGCAAACACCTGGGGTGTTACACCCGCTACCCCTACCGCCTTGTTGTTGCTGCGGCTCACCAGAATGCCATCGCCGTTGCCGCAGGGTGTCCGCCATCGTGGAGACATCCTTCTACGGTGTCCCGACTCGTGCACCACCGCCCATCGTCTCGAGTCGAACCCAAGGTGAGCGTCAGCCTCGTAGATAGGTCAGTGTGGGTCTCGTGTGGCCGGCGTAAGCGCTAGTGCCACCGTTCGCCGTGTCGGCGTGCGCGGGGATGGTCGAGGACCTTGCCGTTGTAAAAAGGAGAAAGTTCTGAGGGTTCCGTTGCAAAGTCATTGTCTTTAGAAATAGTACGTGTAGTGTTCGCGCTATTATTTGGTAACGCGAGGGCGTTTTTGCTAATGTGCCAGCGCACGCGGGTTTCCTCGCTGCGGGCCGCCTCGCGCTGCAGGCTGGCCTCACGTGGGCCATGTCTGTGGGCCGTCGTGCGCTCATTGCCGAAATGCTAAGTGTTGCATCATCATCGCATGCATGTAGAGAACGAGTTGGCGGAGATCGTGACCATCGGAGATCACAAGTTCGAGGAGGTGATCGAGGAGTACAAGGAGGAGATCCTCGTGCAGGAGGAGGTCCCAGAGCCGCCACAGACTAACTGAGCTGACACCACGCCTGTCCAAGGCAAACCCCAGTGCACAACCCTTATTTTGAATTATCACTGGATATATATATATATATATATATGAGATGTGCATTTACGTTATAGGATTTATATTAAAACTACATGCATAGATAACCTACCTATGAGTCCTACTAGCATAGGTCGAGTAGCCGTTATGCTTAGGCTATCGGTAGCGTGAGTAACCTGCCATTACTCACCATAGGTGATTAATATTATCACTCTCATGATAAAATGGTGAAAAGAAATAGAGACCGGGCAGGGATATGGTACGGGTATTGGTGGGTGTAATAGGTTGTGTTCCGCGGCTAACGGGGCATAGCTTGGTTACACTGTTTTTCTCTGTCTCGTGTCGGTTAAGGACCGGCCGTTGTATTAGATTCTAGTCAGGTCACAGACTTATTATCCTGAGCACATACTTGCTTATGGGAGCGGGAAGGCTTGTTGCTCTCTTGTCGTGGGTTCCGGCTCTTTCCGGACTGACTGATTGGAGGCAGGGATGGTGGATGTCTAAGCACCACACTGAGTCCGGGACTCAGGTGTGGAGGCTTGGAGTCCAAGTTTGGACGGGGACCTGGACCCCTTGACAAGAGAGTTGTGGGTTGGTCCTGCTTGTGCCTGGGATATAAGCGGGACGTGTGTTTCAGGGTACCCAGATGGGCTATATTGATTCGCGAATCGCCGTGTAATATGGTATGACTTGTCTACGATCTAGTACCGTAGTAAGAATTGGAAGATAAAAGGGAATGAATGGATCTGATTGCTCAACTCTTGCTTGAAAGTAGAACGGGTGCTTACATAGAATGGTTAGCTAACGAATTAATCATGACTGCTAATAAAATACATACATAAGGATTTACTATTAGTAATGCTTTTTTGCAAAAAGGAAACCCAGCAAACTATAAAGCTTATCATATCCTTTGGAGTCGGGAAATTATTCCCACTAGTCGGGTAAGTCTTACGAGTACATTGTGTACTCAGGGTTTATTTACCCCTGTTGCAGATGCAGCTTGAGGAATGACTGTTGTGTGGATGATTCTTCTGGCGGGCACAAACGGATCTTTGTATCTTATCGCTAGATGTTTATTTCAATTCCGCTGTTTAAATTCCACACTCTGAACTTGATATTGTAATAATGTATTTTCGAGAACTATTGTTGTATGAAATGGACTAAGTGATGTAAACTCGTTCTCATTATTGGATCCTAGGTGAAAACATAGATTGTTCGAGTTCTTTCTTGGGATGTGCTCGACGGAACCGTTTGATGTAGCTTACTTTCGGGGTGTTTAGTGTCTGGTGGGAGACGAGCGCCTCCGGAAGCATGCTATTTCGGACGGTTCTGCCACAAAGAATTACCCCCCAATACATCTATGATATTTTTTCACAAGTGGTACATACAAGAGGTGTTACTAACAGGACATGCAACCATCTACTCAGATAATATAGCTTACAAGAAATGTAGTTGTTTTCTCATTTTTAACAAGTGTGGATTAAAAAAAACAGGAACACACCGGTTACACCAAATGTTGCAATTACGACAAGGTGAAACCAAATAATCAACACATTATCCAAGTCTGTTTGGTGCTAGAGACAGCTGACAATGATTTGTTCTTGTTCTTTTGGTGCAAACCTCGTGTGGTTATTATACAATTTTAAAATAAGCGATCTAATTATCGTGGACAAAAGGAGATGAATACAAATTTATTTCTATTGTTATCTAGAAGATCTTTGGCCTTTCAACTTTGCTATTTGCTCTACTGAATTGAACCGGAAATGCCTGCCCTACGCTCACAAGAGACTAGATAGATAAAAAAAAATGACGAGCTGGCCTGCGAGAAAACAATAAAACACTCCATCCGCTCTCTACTAAATGAAAAGACAGAGCACCTGCCATTAATGTTTAAAAAAACACTCCATCCTCGGAAGGATATAACTGTGAACACTAAAGTTCTAGATTATGAAAGGAACAGACCAAAGTTAGCCCATACAAACATAAACACAGTCGGCGGCCCGGCCCAGCCTGACAGTACCTTAAAATAAGGTCTGAACCGGTGAATCGAGATCAGTAACAAGTGGAGCCCACGTGTCAGCTGCACTTAATTTGAATCTCGCTGCGAAACGACGAGGATCTCCAGCAGTGCCCAAAAGCATTTTCTCCACGCGTGCTCTGTCTCTCTCCTGTCTCCCTCATCCCGCACCCTCTCGACAAAACACACCAACTGTCATCGGACGGCGCAAAACTGGGCCGCGTGTTCGATTCAACGGCTACTGCAGCCCGCCGAGCGCACATCCAAAGGCCAAAGCCACGAAGCACGAGCCCCCGCCCCCGCCCGCGCCGCCTCCCCCCTCCTTCAAATTTGCGTAGCGTTGATTCCACGCCCCGACGCCCCCGTACCCAAATCTACTACCGACGCACCTCTCACAACGCTCAATCCAAACGCGATCCGCAACCCTAACCCTAGCAACAGTGATGGCGCGCCCGAGGGGTAAGAAGCGCACGGCGCCCCAGGCGGCCGCCACTGATTCGGTCGAGCCGGAGGCCGCCGCCGGTGCTCCGAGCAAGCCGGAGGCGGCGGCGACGGAGCCGGCAACTCGGGGGCGGGGGAAGCGCGTCAAGGCGCCGCCCAAGCCCAAGCCCGAGACGGACTACTTCCCCGAGAAGAGAAACCTGGTGAGTTTGTTTTCTAGGATGGCCTGGCTCGGGTTAGGTTTTTGGTATCCCCGAGTAGTGGTTTGGTCCTGATCTGATTAGCTCGCGGGCGGCTTCACTTTCGATTGTTGCTCTAGCGGCAATATTTGCAGTGCTTTGATTTGTCGAAAAAACTGGGGATGATGGCTCCATTTTGCCGCTGGTTATGCTCAAATGTGGCATTCCATGGTTATGAAGGATTATACTTGGGTTTTACTATTGGATTCTCCTCATCTGAGTGCGAAATCGCAATGCGTTACTGTGGTGTTAGGAATTCGTTATTGATGAAAATTTTCAAATCTGTGTGCTTTGCGATGCAAGTGCAGTTTGATAGGTCAACATTTTCTTCTGTCCATTGGTTGCGGCTGATATATAAGGCTTGAGAACCATGTATGATTACCACTAAAAAATAGAACATGATGGCTTTAGAAGCATTTTCTCGCTTGTTGGCTCAAACAGGTTTATTTTTGGAAGTTACCATAATGTTTTAGATTGTGTTTGACTGCCCTGTATGATGATGTTGCTATTTACTTTATGTGCATTCTGACTAATGATTTGTTGTTATGTTCAGGAGGATCTCTGGTTATCTGCTTTCCCAGTTGGTACTGAGGTTTGCTCCCATCCCTGCCTTCTTTAATTTGTAGTAGTGTGTATGTTAGTGATCCACATTTGGACATAGGTCACATCTTTTCCTTAACAACTTATATAACTTGCCATATTATCTGCAGTGGGAAAACATTGATAAGATAAAGGAGTTCAACTGGAACTTCGAAAATTTAGAGGTATGGTGATCAAAGTTAATCTTTTAGTCCATTTTGCTTTTTGAGTGCTTATTAGTTACCCCTTCATCATGATATGTGGTTGTTGTTCGTGAACAGAAAGCCTTAGAAGAAGGGGGAGAGCTTCATGGGAAAACAGTTTATATGTTTGGAAGTACCGAGCGTAAGTGCACTTCGCTTTCAGCTACTTTCTAAAATTAATTTGCTGCCACTAGTCCTTGATGTATGTTTGTTAATCTTTGTAATATTTTACACCAGTCTATCTTGGCTAATTTTAATCTCAACTTAATCTTGAAGAGCTATTATTTTGGTAAATTCGACAATTCTATCTGTGCAACACTATTTATGTGCTGGATTTATAAACTGGATTTTAGTATAGGCCATATGTTTCATTTGCTTACTAGTTTTACAAGCCTGCTGAATATTGTTCTATACAAGACTAATTGGCTCCTGTTGTCATGCAGCCCAGCTATTGGATGTTAATGGAGAATCAAAGATAGTGCTTATTCCAATCGTAGTTGTTGTAAGTTCTTGTCTACCCTCTTTGCTGGACAGCTATCCTGTGTGTATATTTATTCCACAATTTTGAGTTCCAAAACATGCTATTAGAAACACGCCTATTGAAAATGCCCCCTGTAGTTCCACACCATCTTATGATGAACATCTAGCTCTTTCTCTATTACAGGATAACTCTGCTTTTATTGAAAGCAAATAAGGTTCACCGTACACTTGCTGGGGATACCAGCTAGCCTCTAGCCATAGAAGCAAACCACATAACTGCTGGACATGAAAATCTACTCATAACTGCTGGATTTGAAAATCTACTCATCTAGGTCATAGATATGCCAGCTAAACAATTAAGAAATTCTGTTTGTACTTTTGCATTAGCAAACAATTCATACCATCTTTGGTGGGTGGGTGTTGTTTCCATTTTTTTTAGTACTATCAACTGCACAACATTGAAAATATATCTGTCTTTAAGATTAAAAATTGCAACAAACATTTTGAAAGTAAAAAAAGGCAAGAGACTTAATCTACCTTGTCCATTGATATTACCAATGGAACTATATTTTGGTAGGCAGATTTAGTACATTAAATCATTTTTGTTCTTTAACAATATTGGTGCTGTCCAGATAAAAGTTTTTGGCTGGTGATATTTTCCTTTTCATTAGTGCTTTGACTCTAAAATGCAGTGACAAGTGTTGCTTTTTATATTTGCAGTTTATGATGGCTCGATAAAACAATTTGTTTATGGGTCAAATATTTTGCTATCTATCTCTGGGTGGTGTGGGTCTCATTTAACACTTGAACTCTTTTATTTTGCAGGTAGACTGCCCTTTCCCTCCATCAGACAAAATTGGCATAAACTCAGTCCAAAGGGAAAATGAGGAAATCGTGCCAATGAAGGCGATGAAGATGGCATGGGTGCCTTATGTTCCACTTGAGGACCGGTACTTTTGTATTATCATGTTGAATGATATTTGCTGGTTATTGTTTCTTCTCCCAAGTCATTGCAACTCATTTTTCTAGCTTTGGCTTTGCTTTCTCTGTAGGCTTAGCAGGATTGACAGTTTGAAAACAAAAATATTCACTCTCGGATGCACGCAGCGAAGGTTAGTAATACGAATTTATGGTTCTGGTCATGCTTTAGGATTTATATTTGTGCTCATCCATTGTTGTGTTATATTTCCTTTTTTTAAGCACTGCTGTTGTTACCACTGGTTCAAGTTACAAAGTCTCTGGTTTACACCTTTTGTAGGTCTGCGCTGAAGCATCTCAAAATTGAGAGAGTCAAGAAGTTTGATTACTGCATGCCTTGTAAGCTTAATCTCTATGTCAGTTACATTCTACTAATTATTAATTATAAGTCTGTAAGTCATTTAGTTTAAATATGTATGGCATTATCTGGTTTTATGTTCTTTTTTCTGAGTAATCTCCTCATCTGTGTATGAACCTTGTCTATCATCTCTGCAGACTATATGCCACTGCAGCCTCTTGAAGACGAGGATGACACAGTTATCAATTTCTTATATCCTCTAGAACCCCCGGTAAGATTCCTTATTTATTTCAGTGAGGAGTATTACTCGCCGTGGTTTCCTCTTTAACAATTTTATTAGTTGGTCCATCCAACATTAGTGTACTTGATGCCTCCTAATTTATGCTTGAGTTTTGATTTCATATAGCTGTAGATTGTTGTCATGCATCACTGTGTTTACTTTGTGTTGCTTGCTGCAGATAGTAGATGAGTTTGACTGGGAAATGGATGATTACGAGGTTTGTGTTGAAATGTGTTTTGTTCCGCTCAATATGCTAGAGTTGCAACCCATGAAAGTGCATCCGTGTTGAATGGCTTCAATTTTGTCTTGCAATACAGGATTTTGCAGATCAGAAAGCCCAAGAAGGTAGCCTGCCAGAGGGTGAGAAAGAAAAATTCAAGGTACTGCATTTATTTTGTGCTTAATCTGTGGCTAAGCTAATCTCCAGGAATTGGTTACATTTGTGTCTTAAACTTACAGTTTTGTTGCCACATTTATTTGATAGGAGTTCCTCAAGGAGAAGGTTAGAGAAAGGAAGAGAGAGCTGAAACAGGTTCACAATCATGGGAACTATTTATTTTATTCACAAGAGATTTGTTGCATTAGTATTCAATGTTTCCACAAACTTATGTAGGCTAAAGAAGCCAGGAAGAAAGCTATCGATGACATGGACCCTAAAATGAAAGAAGCACTCGAGAATATCAAATTTTACAAATTTTATCCTGTAAAAACCCCAGACACGCCTGATGTAAACAATGTAAAGGTATGCAGTGCTGCTGTTAAGCATTCCTAAGGTAAAGCATAACTGAATAGATTTAACTTTGTACCTATTGTTTTCTGCAGGCTAGGTACATCAACAGATACTACAGGAATGCCCATTGTCTGATGTAATGGTTTTCCTGATGACCTGATCTCATGTGCTTGGCCAGCGTGTCACTTGAGGAGTTGATATATATATAAAAAAAATGAAACCCGGGGGGAGAACAGTTTGGTGACATCTTCGAATGTGGTCTTACTGTTGTTTTGTACTAGAGTTGCCCTCAGGCCTCAGATTTTCACCCCCTTGGGCATCTTGTTTCGCTGTACGGTGTATACAACCCTGCAGGATAGATTATTGTGTAGCATTCAGAGGGTCAAGGTAGTTTTGAGACTAAACAAATCATTAAGGAACAATTTGGTCCCTTTTCATCATCTAAATAGTGAAGCTTCGGCACAGGATTCATGAGTTTAACATCGTTACAGCACAGCCTGATGGTTATGCTGTGACTGTTTTAACATCTGCTATGTGCAAGCTATGCAACACGATGTGATGTACAGAGAATCATGCTGTAATCATAGATGCTGTAATCACGCTGTTCAGAGTAAATCGGATTCTGAAAACAATCTAAAGTTCCACGCAATCGCAGTAAATCTGGGTTTCAGTGCTACTGCGTTCTCTGTACCCTGAGCCCACGCTCGCATTCCCTAGGTACAGTCGCCCAACCCCGAGTCGAGTTCCTGTCTTCTCCCGCCTCCGTCGCCCGCCTCCTCGTCCTCGCCGATCCGCTCATCTTCCTGCGCAACGTCGCCGCCCCCTTCCTCTGGAAGAAACTGCTTCCGTCTTCGTTGCCACAGCGACTGGCTACTTCTTGAGCACTACTGGCCATCTTGGCGTTCAGCACCGCTCCCGACTGCAGGTCTGAGTTGTTTCCTATGGGTGTGTTTGATTGTATTTTGAGATGTGATTGTTGCTGGGAACTCCAACCCATTTATAGACCATTCCGGTTGCCAGGTCTATTAAGTGTCACAGAACTAAAAAAACTATTACTATAATTGTTTCAGCTTGTATTCAGTTAAAAAATGAGTTATCATACGTGTCATTTCACACTTAGAAATGAGAATCTATGCACAATCATCCGGATTGCTAAACTTCAAAATACTTTAGGCCGAATTTACCAGCCGCACTTTTTCAGTAAAATAACAGTGTTTTTCTCTCACAACAAATCAGCATCAGCATCAGCATCAACATCAGCCGTTTTTTCAGCCAGCTTGAGCAGGACGTAAAACAAAATGGACCCCAGATTCTTCAGACTTCAGATTAAAAGCAAGCCTTTTTCTAGTTTGGTTGCCTGTTCGGTTTATACGAGAAAACTAGATACTGAAAAGGATCTTTTGCTATTACCACATGAACAAATGCGCTCACAAAATGTGCAGCGGCTCGGGCGGGGCCGTGCAGGGTGCCGCGGGGGGCGCCGGCGGAACTCGACGACGACAACGGCGATGTAAGCCGGCGGGTGACATCAGCTTGGGTGCACCCGCCAGCTGCGGCGACAACGCCGCTACCACTGCTGCTGCACTTTGCTTCCCAAAGCCAGATCCGTTGGTGTTGGAGATGTGCACGAGTGCTAGGACTCCCGCGTGGGTCGACCCTATGTTGGAGGAGCTCGCTGCATCACTCATCGTGAGTGGCCCAGTAGGAGGGGCACTAGCGCCTACGTCTCCGCCGGCTTCGGCGGCGGCCTCTCAGGAAGGGGATCCATTCTAGGTGGACACCCGCTCTCCGGTGAAGGCTGCCCAGTCGACGACACCTCCGATATCGCCCGATGTCGCGGATGTGGAGACGCGCCCTGACCCAGCACTAGTCAGGGCAGCCACCTCGGGAGACAGGACGGTTGGGGTTGCCACGGATGCCGCCAGCCGCCAGCCGCACTCCCATCTCCTCAAGCGACCTCTGCCGACAGATGCCTCAAACACTTCATAGAGCGAATCACAAAGGTGAGGCAGCCGCCAACGGCCCACGCCGGATGTACACCGCCTGCGCTCCCCAAGAGGAGCAGGCGGATAGCGGCGCAGAGCATATCGCATATCCCAGAGTCCAAGTGAGGCGAGCACCTTGTCTTAAGCAGCGCAGGCGGATAGCGGCGCAGAGCATATCACATATCCCAACGTCCAAGTGAGGCGAGCACCTTGTTAGCGAAATGCCATCGCCATCGACGTCAGCCCTGAAGGCGTACGATAAAATCTTCAGTGTTGACCCCCACTAATATGCAGGTGCTACGTGAGTTGTTCCCACCGGACGGTGATGTGGGTGTGCGCAAGCAGCGCCGCCGCCGCTCGGTAGTCCGGGCATAGCCCCCCTAGTCGACGCCACAAGTACGGTTGATTAGTGTCCAATATAACAACATTAATTTCAGTACACTAGGGAGGGTCCGAGCGTTCATATACTATTTTGATAATCACCTAGGACGCCGTTAAGACGTATTGTATTAAATTTTTTCTCTAGCTTAATACAAAGACGCGCAAACCTATTGCGTGAACGAGAAAAAACAAAATGTGCAGAAATTCAGGATCATTAGTTTCTGAGCGAACATGTCAGAGTTTCGCCGATCACGAACCTGTGGACAACATGCTGTGCCATGGCAACTTTCTTCAGAGATACTAATTGAAAAGCAAGCCTCTAACACATGTACAGATCTTGGTAAGCACACATTGCTAGCTGCTGTTACATGAAGGACATACAATACTTCTTCCTGCCGTTATATCGTCTCAGCGCATTATGTGGTTATGACACTGGCATCCCTCTATATGTGAAGGACATACAGTGAGCCTGACAAGGTTTTCTAGTACAATATATAAAGTGCAAAATCCTTAGTTATAGCAGAGTTGTATGACTGGTTGACGCTCAGGGCTGTGACGCCGCTGAAGTATGTCTGACGTCATGAGCATCCTGTTACTCGCAGTCCAGCATTCCCTTCCGCCCGCCCCCTCTCGCTATGCCGGCTGGCGCCCGGTGTACGGCCGTCGTCGGGGATCGAGACCTGGGGTCCACATGGTAACCAACCGACTCTAACAAACTAATCAACCAACCGCCCAATGCCCACCTTCGTCTACAAATACCCACGACGACGGCAATGCCATGCCACCTTCCAAACACGCGCACAATCCAGGAGCGACCGCGAGCGAACAAGAAGGAAGCCAGAGCACGAGAGAGCGAGAGGAGGAGAGGCAAGAAGCAAGTTAGGGGAAGAGGATCGGAGCGAAGGACCCGATGGCCGCCGACATCGGCTATTGGCTGGTGACCATCCCCGTCGGCGTGGTGCTCGGCGTCGTCCTTGCCGTCATCATCCTGGTCGTGATCGTCGTTGTTGCCTTCATCGTTTTCGTGTGCGCCACCAATCTCAGTGCGTGGTGGCGATCGCCGCGGATGCGGCTTCTCAGGCTCGGCGGCGTCACCACCCTGAGGCGGAGGCTGGGCTACCCCTGCACCATGTGCCGCGACAGTATGGAGGCCGGCGAGAAGGTCCGCACGCTCTCCTGCGACCACGTCTTCCACTGCGGCGGCACCGTCAAGTGCAGGCTCGGCATCGACGCATGGCTTCTCGCCGGAAATGCGATGTCCTGGCAGTCCTGCCCAATCTGCCGCCAGGTTCCCCATCCCGTGCTGCCGTGGAAGCGGCCACCGCCATCGTCGCCAGCGCCGTCTTCGCCGCAGACGTCGGACTCGGACTCGGACTCGGAGGAGTTGCTGTTTCCGTCGCACTGGTTCGATGAAACACTACCGGAGTAGGCGTCGCCATCGCAGTAGACACGCGTGATCGAGCTTGGATGCAATGGGACGGTGTGACGCGTCCTGTGGGGCGTTCTGGATCAGTTCTTGGAGAGGTTCTTGAAGGATTCTTTCGTCATTTCTGTCTCTGCATTCTTGGAACTGATGGAGGGTAGTCTGGTGCTGCGTGTTGTCTGATGGTCTGGATTAGTTCTTGAAAGATTCCTTCGTTGTTTCTGTCATTCGCTTTCTTGGAACTGATCGAGCTTAGCTGCGTTCCTGTTCTTATGTTCAGATTTGTGTTCAGCTGTGACGAACTGAATTTGTTGATGCCAAGAAACGATGATTTGTTAGTTCTTGGATCAGTTACAATGTTCTGACAGAAGCAAATAGATCCTTTCTTCATTTCTTGGGTACTCTGTTCAATTGCTTAGTGCCTCAATGTGAAAATGATTTTTAGTGTAAACTGCTCACAGCATTGTTCGCTAATGTCTTGCAGTAGTGCTTGAAATCAGCTCTGAATAATCTGTTAGACATTTTGCTGATTGACAAAAATCTGTAGGTCCGTTTTCTGAAAATATGATTAATAGTTCTGAAAATCAGTGACCTTATTTTCTTGTGCATTCCAGCAATGCCGGTATGTTACAGTGTTTAATCATACTGAAGATTATTGTATTGTTTAATCTGTAGGTGGTTTTTTCTGATAACTTTTTTTCTCGAATACGCAAAAGATTTGCGTATCATTATTTTAAGTAGGAGAGCTTAAACAAACATACAACGCGCTTCTATCGAGCGCCGAAGGAGGTCGACCTATCACAACCGTAGCTAGGCCATCCTAGCAAAATCCCTCTTCAGCTTCTTGGATGTATGCAACACATGATCGAGTGATGTTGTGTTTTCCCGTCGATTTCAGATATTAGTCGAATTTTAGGAGGATGTTGTTGGCCCACAGTTAGCCTCCCGACCACCGAGATGATCTCCAGACCACTATAGATAGCCTCCAGACCACCGACCACAGCGTCCGACCACTACCTGATAGTCTCCAGACCACCGAGATAGCCTCCAAACCACTCCATTGGTCTCACAGGATCACCGGCTCACGACAGTGAACCACTCCAGCCGATCTTGCCGAACACCGACTCAGGCGAGTGGAGCACTTGTCGGTCTCACCGAGCACGCGCTAGTGTTGCCGAGCACCCACTAGCCGTGCAGACCACGTACCGGCGTTGTCCGTACCCACACACTACGGATCGAGCTAGAAGAGGAAGGGAGAACAGAGCAAGCACGCACAATACAAGGCAACAGCGTTGCCCGAAGCCCTGTCTGTGTGATGGCAAATCTAAGCTCTCTTTACTGAGTTGCCATA